AAAGTTTTGACACCTTGGTGGAGACAATGGAGAGTTCATTTTGAGAGAAGGCGACAAAAAACGTGTTCTTTACACACACTGGAAATTTCAAGATGGTGATTGACTCTGATGAAAACGACCAACTCGAAACGTCGAAATCATAGTTATGGAAAAACATCCCAATTGCACACGCTTCAACCTGACCTACCACACAACATTGATTTCAATCCGGGCAAATGTTTTCAGAGCGGTCGGTCCCTACATTTTCAGCAAGTGTAAATTACAAAGGGAGTGTGCGACTTGACTGGGGCAAAGTAATACGTCATCGCTCATCCGGACTGGGTCCGGCACAAGTCTGGATTCTGGATGAAAACTTAGGAGCCGACTACAACCAGTCGTACTCCATTGTATACGGAAAATTATCATCTGAATGCCTGCCCATCGTCTTATGCGCCCATTGAAATTTGCGGGTTGTTTTCGTCAGATGCATTTTATCTACAGGGTGGTCTTGGAAATACGAAGAATAATATCTACAGGGTTGTCTTGAGAATACGAAGAATAAAAAATGATACTGGAATTTCATAATCAAGTACATAGGTCGGTCGGTAGCCGGTTGGATAGCGTGAGTGGTTCGTTCTACTCGTTTAATGAACCTTTACGAATATGGTCCAAGTCCAACTGTGAGACCTTGAATTTTCACTGTGTACTGTTCGATCCGTGCTAGAAATCGCACGTCAAACAGCAATACTCCGTTGATGCCTAGCTCGCCCAAGTTTTGACTTCTGAGGGTTGTCATTGGTAAGATGGCGACTTCTCGTTAACGAAAAAATATATAACAGATTTTTTGTCATGGGGAAAAAGAAATTGGAAATTAAATTTACTTTCAAATGGATTCTGACGTTTCAAAAACATTCATTAGGTGGATAAAAAATTATATAAAAAAATTAAGGAGACGCAGAAAGGCAAAAATAATAACAACAGTCTTTTCGACCAACCAAATTTTAGACTCTAGAGTCAAAAGATGAAGCAGACTCCAGTCCCTAGAGAAAAAATGTATCGATTAGAGAGAACCTAAAAGGAAATTAATGATTTTAGTAGGCTATATAGATAATATTATGAAGGTGGGTAGGTATCTATGAATGTAATTATAACTGAATGTATGTTACACCGTATTGCCTAAATTACCGAGTTGATTTTGCTGATAGAGGGGTGGGTCGATACTATTATAAATTCAAAAAAAAAAGCATGATGGATGTCGTGTTCAGAAAGGTAGTGTTTTATGATTTTTTTATTTGCTGTCGTATCGAGAGGGATGATATAAAAAAAAATTCAGTTCCTAAAGGTGAATATGATGAAATATTAAAATATAACCAGAAATAGAAGAACAAAGAATAAAATATATTATAATATCATGTACATGTCATGCACTCAAAAATTTTGAATAAAAAAAGAAAATGTAAATGATGTAGATCAAGATGGAAATGATTGAAAAACTGTCATTTGACTGGAAATAAGAAAAACCTAAATATGAAAATAGGATTCATAAAAAAAAGTAGTATTCTGATATATCAGATATTACTATGAAATTTTATAAGATTCTTCCGAGTCAAATGCCTAATGGTCGTATCATTCTTGCTCAATAAAACGATGACAGCATTCAGAACAAAATTTAGGTACGTTTTTTGTTCATTATATTAATTCTTAGTCGAGTTACAGTCTTTCTTTTATTCGTAGGAGCAGTTTTTTTACTTCAAAATCTTTACAGGTATTTGTTAATAACAACAAAAAAAGGTAATATAAAACTACTTTAATAAATACAGAATTGTGACTCATTCATCATAAGACTTACAACAAACTGAAGTCGGTAGCTAAAATTGTGGGTGTAAAGTGACATGTCAAGAAGAAGAAAATATCAGAATGAAGTTACAATTCAGGACGAGACCAAAATTGCTGGTAACATTTTCAATCATTAATAAGCAAGCACTTTCCTAATCATCAGAAATGCAATTCTATTCTCCATGTGCGTTTCACCAACCAAGTTGGCGTCATCAGGAGATAAAGAAAAAACGTATCAATAATTGCCAAAATAATTAGAAGATGGTGTCTTTGTCAATATGGCTAGAAGAAATGCATGAAATGAAAAGCTCCAATTATAAACCTATGATATAAATGAAACAATTACAATATCATGATATACATTCGAAACATGCATGTCTTGTTGAAACAAACTGATATTTTTGGCATGTTGGTGTTGAGGAAGAGACAGCTTTCGATATATATTTTTATTCTTATTGTGTACTTATTTCAAAGAAGAGTTGGTAATAATTTTCCATCTTGCTTTGATATTCATCATGGACTTCAAATATTTAGACTTTCACCAAAAGAAAATAGTATTTAAGAAATTACAGTCGACATTTAACTCTAGACAAAAAAAATACTTCGAGAAACCCCCCTAATGAAGGCCAGTGAGGCAGAAAATTCAATATATTTTCGTGTCTTTAAACAGAAAAAAATTCTATACTTATAAGTTTCGTGTAATCTCAAACCAATTGAACGTTGTTTGTTACTCTGATGCATAAATCAGAATGATATACAATACAGGGAGGTTAAGAATGCTGAATTTACAATATATTTGATTTATACCTACAGCAATGTTTTAAACTCGAAAAAGAGATAATAACTAATAAGTTAAACTATGAAAAAATTACCTAATTTATTTTTTAATTATTCACCATGTTTTTTAATGAAAAACGAGTTTTTTTCTGTTATTTGTCACATATTTATGAAAAACTTCAATTTCAATGATTTCTAAAATGTTGCAAGCAACAGAAAAACAATTTATTATAAAGGTTATTATAATAGAATTTTTGAGTGCGCATGTCATGAAGGTACTATCGTTAAAGGTTAACTCGAAAATTCAAAATGAAAAACTGTAAAAAGACTACTTCAAAAATTGCTTCAATCGTTTCATTAAATTTGATATGTCAGATATTCCTAATCTTTATTGAATTTTTCTGGCAATGCGGTTTTTGCATTATCAAATACAAAATATATACATACAGCATTACGACATTTTATCAGTTCAACTTTGAAATTATGAAAATTATTTCTGAGTAATTTATCAAATTAAATAATACCGGCGGAAAATATAACACAGATTTAGAGTCTGAAAAGTATTTGTGGTTTGTCAAATTATTACTCAAACATGACCCGGCTGTGTGATTGTTGTGTAGTTTTGATAAATTCTGGGAAAATAAATGTCTTTTCATATTCACAAAAAACATTTTTGAAAATAATATATTTTTTTAATAGTTATAGTATGCAGTACTGTGTACCCCGACAAAAGGTACTTATACAGTACCTACCGTCGGTGGCCGAGTACCAGAAACGGAAAACCAGCAGACATCCACCGTAGCGCCACACAGTGACAGACCAAAGAACTACACACCCCTATTTAGTTCTCACTTGTTGACACGAGGGTACTTGATGGCGCCACTAACAACACTTCAAATCGTGGGGTGGATAGCTACCATTCTTCAACACCCCTTCTATTGTTAGATTTGCGAAGCCCATTAACAATTTGTCATGGGCATGTAATGGTTTTTAAGGGTGGAGCCATGCCGACAGAAGAACAGATTATGGTCATTAACAGGTAACCAATAAATTTTGAAGAAATGTTTTTTTAGAAATAGAATTATTTAGTACCTACAGAACTTGTGACAATTTTATGACATTTCAGTCAATACAAATTATTCTACGCTCGGACATACGCCCACTCAACTCGTGGCACTAAAATAAATTTTGTATAAAATATTTTTCAGTGTGAACGAAAATAATCCTTGTTTTGAAATTGTTAAGTGTGTTTGGTTGTGAACGAGCAAAATGAAACTAATTTAGCACATTGAAACCCGCAAACAGTGAGTTAGTTGGGTCAATGAATTGCAATTTGGTTAAGGTCGTTTTAAAATTACTCCACATCTGAAATTGCAGCATTTTGGCATATCCACAACTCCCGAGGACATTGTTTAAACTAGAAATAACTATTGCTTGATAGTTGAATAAAGTTTTCGCGTTTTATGATTATATTCGAATCGAATGATTCATGAGTTAGATAACAATGACATTCAGGAAGAATGTAAACTGGTAATTTGTTACAAAATTTTCATAAATATAGAATCCTGACTACAATAAATTCGGGTCTAGTTATAATTCATTTGAATGTACGTCAAGAAGTATTGAGTTTCACAAGTTTCTTTGAAATACATCATTATCCACTTGAAGTTATATCAAATATATTTTCCTCTGGGAAACAGCATATTTATCAATACATCTGCTGAATGTCGTTTTTCAAAAACAATTTGTATTGCTTGAATATGTAGAATTTTCAACTCTAGTTTTTTCTAGTAAACGTTTGACAATATTAAAATTTTCAAAGAACAAAAGTCTCAAATACTTAGGTAGGGATCAAGTATTTGACAAGTACGGATAATTTCTTCAGTGAAACTGCTGTAATTTGTGGTTTTCATTTGACTGAGTTTCAACGTGCCGTTGGATTATGCACTCCTGATGTATCCTCATCCAGCAGTAGCCTTCTATTTTGTGATACGTAAATTATAGTTTACGTCAATTATGAATCTCAACTGCTAACTTTGTGAAACATTATTTTCTACCAGTCTAGACACCACGTTACTGAAATAGGCCTGCCACACAGCTGATCACTCCTCGTGTTCCGTAAAAGGACCACAACCGAAATTCTCGCGAGAGCAAGAGAGTGCGATTTACCACCGATATTTCAAGAGAAAAAGAGACCGTCAGCGGGCTTACAACCCCGATTTTACACGCACTTGACTCCAGGTCACTAGATTAACATATCGGGACAAGCTCGGAATATGATCATTTGATGAATATGTACGCTTTAGATATTTGTACTTCTCAGTTTGGGAGGATATTTGAGAATTTTTTGTTATGCATTTTTGTAGTTGAAAAAAATTGTAATTCTCTCGGAAAAAATTCTGACTAACCTGCTATTGCCATCCAGGGATAGAATGTGTGGTTCGTCTGCTGATGAATCTGGGTACCAACTGGTTGGGACGAGCTGGTGTTCAACGAACAGGGGTTGTTCCAAGATGACAAAGAATTTCCGGTTCTTGCGGTTGCCGCTCCAGGACTTGAGGAAGGGTCTCCTCCAACGAGCCCCACGGAAGTACCGTATCCCACTCTAGAGTCAGGGGTACACGCGGCAGGCCTCACAGGACCCCCCAAGGTATTCGAAAGACTAGCCCCCCCGCCTGTAGTAGCACTTTGCCAAACGTCCTTTACCGCTGCCGCGGCTACAACGGCAGCGTATCCATTTTGATCAGCGTTACCTTTGGAGCAATCCGATTTCGACGTGCTGTAGTTCACCGAGTTCTGTTGGGATTCTGTAGAAGAAGAGTACAATTTGCAAGCTGCTGCTACCGAAGCGTCGTACGGGGAGTCCTGGGGCGGCCTAGCTTGGTGCAAGGAGTGCGCGTGGTGGTGCTGGCTGGACGTGTAAGGAGGCATACCCAAGCTGAGCGGGAATGATCTGTAGGCTGCAGCTGCGGCAGCACTCTGATGGTCGTGGTGATGCGCCCCGGCCACGGAGCCGGAGCTTTGGTGATGATGGGGCCCGTAGAACCCGCTCTGCTCGAAGTAAGAGTTCATTATTGTAGCGTTAATTTTGGCAACCCAATAAAAATCCCTCAAAGCTGAGGGATGTCCTTGCAACTAAGAAAATTCACACAGTCCACATACACAAGCGTCAAAATCAAGCACTAGTGTCACTTAAAAACTTGCATGACATCGTCATCATTAACCGGAAACGTACTAACGATAATTGTTACGATGTGATTGTAGTAATAGTGGGTGATAAAATACGAATTCAAGCACGAGGCAAACGTTTCGCGCGAGAGTCAAGCCCGGAGTGCACACACTAACTAGTTAGATCGCGGATCGTAGCCCACTGGATCTCCGGAGCAGAATCCGGCCCACACATCCCGGCCCATTCGCCGTCTCGCTCTGACATCACCGCCTCTCGCTCCCTCCCGCGACATCCCCTCCTAAATCAGCACGCGGCGGTAATAGACAGCTCATTATTACCTGCCACTATCGCTACCTGTATTGTCAGCCCCGAGGACCGAATTCGACAGGGTTACGGAACGTTAACCCTTCTCGAGGACTTTTCATTGTGATCTAATAGACTTCCCGGGGAGAGCCTGTCTTCGAAGGGTTTAGAACTTGTCGATTAGGAAAACTTTGTTTTAAACAATCGTTAAATGTTTATAAGCCGCGCTTTTGTTGTCGACAAGAACTACATTTGAAATATTTGCAAGTAATAAGGATGAATAAGTAAATAATGGAAGGGAGTGTAAATGGACCAATAGCGATGGCATTCGTTACAATGCTGGCGCCCACAGAGAGAGTTGCGCAAGGAAAATATATCCCCTAACGACCTCGAGTTCACAAACCATTCCCCCCACTCGACTGGTGCGTTCTCTGTCGCTCTCGCTGCGTTGGCCATGCTGGGGCGGTGGCGTCCTCTTCCGGCCAAGCGCTGAACTTGAAAACCAGATACTTTTCGACGTTCAAACGAGTAACATCAAAGTATATTGCTACTTGAGGCACTCGTAAAAGATAAAATTCATTTGAAATAAATACTTACACCGAGTCTCATTGGTCGTAAAGTTTTTTGACGAGGATGATATGGTCCCAATGAGAGAGTTCTTGACTGAGAATTGAGGAAATTGGTCGTTGACGCGAAAGTGAGTTTGCGGGATGTGTTTGTTTAATAATTACATGACAGGCTTTTTCAACAGAATATTATTAATGATTGATTTCTGTTTTGTTTGTGGAAGTGTCTGAAAATCTTTTTATCACTATTGACTTCATGTCGTGTGTCGTTTGTGTTCATGACATGAAATAAGACAGCAGCTCTACAAATTTAAAACAGTCTTACATTTGTATAAATATTTTTATCACACTTGATAATGTTATAAATAGTTAATTTGAAGTAATTTATTCATCAGCAAAACAGTACTTGATACAGTGCAATAAAAATTCAAGACATGAATTGGAAAAGAAAATAAAATCACTCAAGAGTCTGAAATTATGAACTCACAACTGTAAAAATGTGAAACGACCAAGATTGTGAAAATGTTTTTGCATTTCCAGATTTCTCTTGCTATGATTGAGAATTCTATAATATTAGATTATATTTTATTCCCATTTTATAGTAATGCATGATTTTGCTGTTTTGAACAGCTAGCAAATGTTAACAAAAAAGGTATCACCGTTTGACTTAAAAACAACTGTGTAGGTATGTAAAACGATTGCATATTCTATGAAATCAATTCCCACCTAAACTAGACAGAAGTCTCTTGAATCTTATACCTACTGAAAAACATTTGCAGAGCAGCAGAGATCGATTTTCTAGTAATAGTAATAGTTTAAAGTTGAGTTCTAAGAGATCTAAGTGAAGTTTTATTTTTTTAGCCACTTTTTTAAATGAGAACTGCGAAAAACAAATTTTTGCTAAAACGATAAATAGACAGCATCTTGTAAACGATGGTTCATTTTAAAAGCCTGTAATATTATAAATTACACAACTGTCGTGTTAACCACGGTCAGTTCTTTTGAGAAGTTTTTGGTGCAAAGTTATTTTCATTTTTTGTTATCACCGAAAATTACTTAAAATTATACAAATTATTCAAAAATTTAATAATCAATAATATCAAATCACAAAACATAAAATAGGTATTTCTGAACAAATTCGTTGATTTTCTGGAGATTTTCTTGTCCAAAATAAGTGTTTTAACTTGAATCTCCAGAAAATCAATGACTAAAATGACACAAACTTTAATCGAAAATAATTTTTTGTCGATAAGTCTTCATTATTATAGAACAATGTTTTCATTAAATAAACGATAAAGAAAAATGTAGAAACAGTTGATATGGACAATGTATAATGAAATATAAAAAAATGAAATAGTATACATTGATACAACAAAACACAGATTAAATTCAATCACTATCATTGATAAATGTTCAAAATTACGTTACTTAAAAAAACAATAATGAAATTTAAAAATCATGCATGGAATATTTGCTGGAAGTGTTTTTAAAAAAACGCTTAAATAAGACGTACACCTCCATTAATTCAGTTGTAATTTTAATTGAAATCAACAAAAATGAAGAGCATGACATAACATGACAAAAAACTCAGAGTTTAATAAATTATTGATGAAATTTTCAAAAAGATCAAAATACTGATGAAATCAAACTGAAAGACATTACAAATGATGATGAAATGAACATTATTTTGGAAAATGTAAACACAGAATGGAATTCATGGACAAAAATTTTATAAGTTGGTGTAAATCTTGATAAAAAGACAACAAATAATATATCATACTAGATATGAAACTATTTTTCCGTTAACCTGTCATGAAAACGTACCTGATGTATTCAACCCTATCTGTTCTGAATCTTAAAAATGAAACATTCGAATTCAAATTATATATTTACTTCCACATCATTATAGGTACCTATTCAAAACCTACTTCTGATAAAGATATAAACGAAATAATGATGTTCAATTTGAGTACAAACTCAGGTAAAGATCAGATCACTAAAAGAAACTCCACGAATATTGGATACAGATTTAATAAGCTTTACTTTGATACAAATAACTAAAAAAATGTATTGACTACCTTATCTTTACTAATTACTTCAAAATAACGATTATGAAACCAATAACGTATTCAAAAAAGCACTTCGAAGTGAGCTTTTCACTTGACATTTTACAAAACCGTAGGAGTATATAGGATGACTTGTGATTCTTGTACAAAAGTTTATATTGGCCAAACGGGAAGAACTTTCTACAGAAGAATAAAAGAGCATATATATAGTTTTTTGAATGAGAAAACATTTGCAAACCATCTTTCGACAGAGGTACACGAGTTCAATATTGATTATGACATAATGTATTCGGAAGAAAACGGTTCAAAACTCCAAGAGGTTGGAATGCTTAGAAATCGATAGATTTGAGAGTTCATATTACTATAAAAGCAAGACACAGAATTTGTTTAGTAAGTATTGTGACGACTGAAGATGATATCGTATAGCGAAACACGTGTCGCGATTTTGTGAACTGTCAAGTGGAAAACTTACATTGAAGTGTAAAAAGTACTCAAAATTAAACTGTTGAACTTCATTAGTAGCAAATTACAGTATTCCACCACGGCAATAAAAATAATGTTTTGAAAACAATAAGCTAATTCTTCTTCAGAGCTAAACAAAATCCCTGAAAATATAACCTTAGGTATAAAGTTCTATACAACAGAAAAAGTTAAACTTTTATATAAATCAACAAAAAGACTGCAAATAAGAAATAACCAATTATAATAGATAATTCTAAAGGTGCGTCCACACTAGGTCGAATATGCCGATCGACAGCGGTCGATCGACACAGTCGACGTAGTGTGGAAGTGTCGATCGACTAAGTCGATCTATAAATGTCGAGTCAAATGTAACCCGAATGAAATGGATTTTGCCGACAGTCGAATGAAAATAATTGTTCATCTCACAATGAATCCTTCATAAATTCAGTTGTACTGTATTTTTTTCTCCCATTAACAAGACTAGGTCGAATCCAAAACCTCCTGGAACGATGCACATGCTGGTTTACAAGCACGGACATAAATACGGCAGTAGCAGCAGCAACAAGAACATCTTCATCACTCATTTCGTTTTTGTTTTGCTTTTTTCACTAAATATAGTTTATTTAGAATGTTTCTCACTCACTCTCTTCTCTCTCAACTACTCACTGTCGACTGATGAAATAGTTCCACACAGCAATATTATATGTGGACAATGTCGTTCGACATTGTCGATCGGCATAGTGTGAACGCCCCTTAATAATTTTCATTCAAACATGATTTTCGCCAATGAAGGGAAAATAGTTCAATTACCTACTAAAAAAATATTGTCTTTCAAAAACTATGTTTACTGTTTAGTAGTAATTGTGTAGTGTGTGAAACCTTTGATGTAGTAATGGATATTACCTACTGGAGTTCTGTCCCAAAGCCAAACCGTTATTCCTAACACCTCGACACGTTATCATCTTCAAGAGGAAGAATAAACCTTTTGAAGATGATGATTTAGTGGTCGAAACACGTTTTGGTGTTGGCATAGACCTCCAGTGATATTTATTTAGTAATTAGTCAACATTTCAAAATTTCAAATGTTTTTTTCTTCATAACTGTAGAACCTTTGTGTTTGTGTTTGAAAACATTTAAAACCAAATTGTACATATTTCTTCAAATTGCATCAACACTTCGATTCGCATAAGTTGATTTTCCATGATAGTTTATTGAAGTCAACCCCTCCCACAAAAAAAAACTCTAATTGAATTAAAACTCATCTTACTAGATCCATATTACCTTATCCAAGCTAGTTACAAATGTGTGTGTAGGGATGAATTCCAGATGATTATATATTATTTGAAACACAATAATTAGGTAAGTCACTCTGTATATACCGCTAAGTAGAGAAAGCGAAAACACTATTTACAAACAATAATATTCTGAAGTATCCTAAAAATATTCACACATTCATGAGTGAAAAAAATTAAATTCAAATTCTCTGGCCATCCATAATAATTTTACGGTTATTGCGCCATTTGATAAAATCAACCACAAAATTAACACATTACGATTTGTTTACGAATAATGATCTATCGCAGTCATAAACATAATTCCACTAAAGCTACCGACTACTTAAATGTCAATAGCTTCCATAACATGGTCGTAAAAGCACAATAAAATTTTTGTTAGCCAATCTAATCCTTATTGCAGGGGTAAACAAAGCGCTCCTCTTTCAAATGTAGGATTTCGGAAATTTCAATATGCAAGGAGGTATGATAGTTGTAAAGGAACATTTACTGCCTTTAGAGTGATCGTAAATGTCACAGAGGAGAAAAAAGAAG